ACAACTGTGCAATCTGTCTTTTGCCGGCGACCCCGCAATGTTACAGGCAGTGATTGAGACCGTTCGGTCGCGGCTAATTGCATGAATTATGTTTTGTCATTAAAAGCGATATTCGTTTTGTTTAATGAAATGTTTGATCCCTGATCTGGAAATTGGAAACGAATTTGTGTTGGTGGCGTATGTGTTTATTTGCCATTTGGCTGGAAACCGATTCGATTTCAACTTTTGAGCCAAATGTCATTTCAGTTTTGTAACTTAATGCGGGGAATAAAAACTGTACCAATACCCTACATTTTTAGCTCAACTCATGTAAAGGTTGCTAAGTGTTGTTGCGCAGAAATTAAACCTTAAACTGTTTGAAAACTAAATTTGAATAAATAAACCCTTATAGGCCTAGGTACAGTAAGACACCCTTAAGGAATGTGGCCAGCGCAACAAAGTGCTCGCGGTTACTCAGTGGTGTAGGAGTAGGTTCAATATTGAAAGTTAGCTTTATAGGGCGCCACTGGTTTACAAAATAAAATCCGCGGACTTAAACCAGAAAGTCCCTGATCTCCAAAATTCCTATAAAAAATGTACCTACCCGATGTACCTATCCTCTAAAATAACTTTACCTTAGTTTGGTTGAGGTCAGTAGGGGTAAAATAAGAGTCAAATGTAAAAACAATGATTATAAATCTATTTAATATAATCTGGGGGGGGGAGGGTATGTTTAGAACTGCAATGGCATTCCAAAGGCCAATATAAGGCAATATATATAAATACCACAGTACTTATTATTAAATGTAATTGGTAAAATTACCAAAAGGTAGCAAGGACCAACTTGTAATGGTCTTATAAGATACTCTAATAAATTCAAGATTTACCAATAAATGTTTGTACCCCAATGAGAGTAAAAGAGAATAATTAAGGAATAAAAAGAGTAATAATATTAATTAAAAACCTGTGCACGCTTCTACCATGGTATACCGGAGCGGGTTTGTACAAAAATGTCACCTTAAATATGATCAATTAAAAATCATTGGTGCAGTACACTCATTGTATTTAATAATGAAGGCAGTAAAACAAACTTGGAAATGTACCAAGCTAGATATAAGAATTACTATTAATAATAATAAATAAAAACAATTAAGAAACGTTATTAAATTAAAGGGTACATCACCCCCTTGTAGTCCTCCCTGCAGTCTAAACATCCATTTTTCATTACTGTCTCATGACAGCCTCACAGCCTGGATCACAGACTCCATTACCTTCTATTGACTTCCCTTCTCAAATAGGGTAAATTACGGTTTCAGATTCAGTGTTGTGGGTACTCTGACACCTCACTTCGAAACGTTAGCAAAACGTAGAAACGGAAGAAACCAATGGTAAAATATAATCTGGTTACAAATCGGGCTCTAGTTGAACAAAACGTGCTCGATTATAGCATCGACAATTCAACACAATGGCGTAGATTTTCGTCTCCAGAAAATTCTGAGTGGTTGGCTTACGAATATGGGAATTTACGACCAAATCCAAGTTTCCACCCCAAAACCAATTAAGCAAGCAACCACTTGAGTTCCCAATGCCTCTAAAATCCCACAAAAGGTGGATGTTCCAAGGAACACAGCGAAGAGGACCGCTGGTAAAATCTGACAACTCTTGTTGCTTACTCATCGTACGAATTTAAAGAGAACGACCCTTTTTCCGGCAATCTAATAGGTGAGCTCATATGAAAAGTTCCCCAGAATTCTTTTTTTTTAAGATGCCCTCTGGTGTCAAATTTCCGGTCTTGACCAGGAAAACGAGACAATCAGCTTGAAACGGAACAACCCAAACCACATTGATGACAAACGAAACCCAAAATTGTTATCCAATTTTCTCCCCTAACACTAATTATTAGTAATCATCATCCCCCAGAACTTCATCTAAAAAACCATCAAAATGACCACTCGTTCAGTGGTAGCAACTACAGTGACTCTATTACCCACAGTGGTTAAGAAACCTCGGCAACAGCGCTGCCTGAAACGAATCAACAAGTTTCCCATAACCAAACTTATTCGGCGAAAATAAATAACCGGGAAAATGTAAATATTAGTGCAAATAAGGGTGAAAAAACGATTTAAAAGGTGTGAAAGTGATTTGTGGTGTTGCAGAATTTTGAATAATGAAAAATACGAGACTCGTAAGTGTTGCCAATTGATATTTATTTGGAAGTAAACCAACCTTTTCGTCGACATTTAGGGCCTTTTAGACAACTTTCGTAAGCTAAATAAAATAAATTTCGATCCAACTAGAAGGGCTTTATTATCCTAAAACTACCCTGTCATCTGAATACAAAGAATTTACTCAGTATTACCCTGAAAAATATACCTTTGTTCAATTCCCACATATTGTTTCGCATCCGATCAAAAAGGTAGAAATCTAGTAAAATCCAATGAGGAACCTATCAATCACTGAAAAATAATAATCCTTAGGTATAAAGCTTTATAAATACCCGAATTAATTACCGAATTCATTCGAAATCTCAGTTACGTACTAACGCGAAATTTGAACGTAACAGTGTGATAATGATGAAATATTCAACGTGTTGTACATTTTATCTACGACAAGTGGTTTATTCCAGCTTCTTAGCTAATTGTGAAAAGATGATTTTCAAAATACTATAGTGCCAATGCAACTCCACGTATCTTCAGGAACCATAACTTCACAATTTTATATCAATTCTCTCTACGAATCTCCAAAGAAACTTTTCTACCTCTATGTTTTCAGTTGTATGTAGGTAGTAGGTATATTTCTTTTCATCTATTCATCCCTGTTGTTAGTTGAAATTTTTGGCTATTACTTTATTTTTTCTCTGGTCTTTATCTTTCCAATTTTTATATTTTCATCTATTTGCTTCGATTCCAGAGCCACAACTACTTGGACTATGGACTATAGAATGATGAAAAACCATTGTATTTTTTCACATACCAGTCAGAGCGTTTTTGATTGGTGCAAATCGCCAACAAAAAGTTTTCTGACTATTTCAGCCAATGGAATTTGCTTTAACTGGTTTGTGAGAACAGACAATACTCTGTTAGGAAGTTTTTTCAGGTAATGACCAACGTGAAATCAGGAACATTAGAGTCCCTGTTTGGGAATCGACCTACTGAGTAGTGGACCCCGCCATCCTGGGCCAGTCCTTGACGCGTTTCGTCCTTGTTTAGGACTCATCAGAAAGGCATAGGCTGAAGCTCCCTGTCCAAGCAAAATTGAACTTCATTGACCAGTCAGAAACAACTACTCCGAGGGCAAATACCTCTACAGGGAGCTTCAGCCTATGTCCTTCTGATGAGTCCTAACAAGGACGAAACGCGTCAAGGACTGGCACGGGAATACGGGGTCCAGTACTCAGTGGGTCGATTCCCAAACAGGGAGTAGTTGTTTCTGACTGGTACTCTGTATCTAATAATACAATAATAATACTCTGTATTATTATTATTACTAATTTTCCAAATTATTCCTTTAAAACTATCTCCTTGAGAAACTTCTATACCTTTTTACCATTTGGCTTTTCCATTCGGTAGAAGTAGAGAGTGGAAGTAGTAATCCGGGGACTGTTTAAGGTGGCATTTATAGACATTTACTTTTGGAAATTCTCTTTGTAAAAGACTTGGAAAACGTATTTGTCGGTAATCCAATAAGGGTTTATCGTAGCGCGAGGCCCAGAAAGCCAGCCCGAATCCTACGAGGCCAATCGATTACCCGAAATAGATTATTGAGTTTGGGCTTACCTATTTTCTCTGTATATAGAGGAAAAGTGTATATTCTTTGAGCTCCAGGTTCTGAATTGGGATTATTTTGGTTTTCGTTTTTCCTAAAGGTATATATCGTTTCTATATTCAATTCGCAAATTGAAATGAAATGGACATCAGACTATCAGTATTTCATTATATAAATATTTTTTGAACCCAATGGCAATTGTACCACCTGGCATTCTTTTAATATATTAATTAATTCACATACAATCAACCCTTCTAACAACTTCATCAAACTAATTTGAATACAGCCGTATTTAAGGTCGTTGAAATGTTTAACATTTTTAATTCTTCCTGTGTGAATGCGGATGGTTGATTCGATAAAATTTTTAGTTGCAATGACAGTTCAAACAAGGTGTTCTTCTAAAGTAAAATTGCAGGAAAACAGAGATACTACCCGTATTTTCTGATATTTCTAAGTAAAAAAGCTTGTTATTTTTAATTGTTGGCGATTACTTTTGATTAGCTTTTATCAGAGTACCTACGATTTTAATTAGCCTTTGGAATAATGAAAGAATTCCTTGTGCTAATTTTATTTGTAAGTAACTAGAATCATAAAGCTACGAAAATTAATTGATCTTTATTAAAGATATATACCAATAAAACATCTCAAAATCCCCAAGGCAAAAAAGAAACCTGCTGGTTTTACATGATGTGATTTGGATAGGAGGAACATAAATTTGCCTTTGTTCCGTATCCTCATCTCAAATCAATATCCCGTAATTGACGTTTTACTCAATCCAATTTAACCAAAACTTGTCTTCGGAATTCGTGGCTTTTTCGTAGTGATGGACCTTTATCGATATCGACCGAGAATTTTTATGTCCAATGAAATTTGTATGGGATTTGATTGAGCATAGAAGCTTCGAAATAATCCTAAAATAACTCACTTATTGGAGTTTGAATTTCAACTAAACTGCTGGACAAATGAAGCGGAACAAGCGAATTTTTAGTTTAACTTTGGATTCCAAGATTACGCGAACTAAGGAAGTTATCAATGAGTGATTTGCGTAACTTAGAAGTTAATTTTCACAAACCGCTCATTGATATTTTTTTCAGTTCGCGTGATATTGGAATTTCAAGTTAACCTAAAAATTCGCTTGTTCCGCTTCATTTGTCCAGCAGTTTATTTGAAGGAAAGTTCGTTAATTTAAAACATTGTTCTTACGTAACCGTCTGTTGTATTATAGTATACCTTATCATGTAAAGATTTTCATTGGGTAAGGCTGAAGAAGAAAAATTTATTAGAAAATCTAATTTACTAACAAAATTCTATTGAATAACGTCTTCTTTCACTGAAGTTATATCGATATTATTCCCATTCCTATCATTAGAATGACTTTGTCGTTCTCCGGGTTCCTAATGGGCATCAATGCGAGATTGACGTGCAGGTGGGCTTCGACGTTGGTACTGGGTACTGCCTGTCGTGACATCACGCAGGTCAGAGGTGCTTGGGATCGTTTGCCTGAAATCAATCAAAACGTTGGCGATCGATGAAATAAACTTTAAAACAAATCAGGATTAGTTATATTTTACATAACAAGTTGGAGAAAATTATTTCAAGGCCCCCTTATTTCCCCACATATTCAACTCAACTCACCCTTTATTAATAAACTGTTCAAATTACTAATTAATGAACAAACGCCGTCGCTACGCTGAAATCACACGTTCATATTCAGCGTTACATTGCACGAAGAAAACAAACTTGGGACCGTCAGTTAATCAATTCGCGCACTGTAATTACCATCATGTTGAAATTATAGCATATTTTACATGCAGGCATTGATCAACCCTATGTCAATTAGAGTTTGGCATTCATTAGCGATGTTATAGAATACATCAATAAAATGAGTTAAAAGTTCTAGTTGAAAAAACAAGTTCTTGCACATTATTATAATTGATACCCACACATGCAACAAGGTGAAGTAGTATATCCCTTTCATAATTAGCCACTGATAAATTATAATACAGACTCGCGACAATGTCAACATAATGACGCAATCAACGTCCATATTATAATCTGTATTCCGTTACATCATTCTGCAACTAAAGGCTGGCCCCATCACGTCACAGTGACAAAGGCCCTTAATGACTTTAATCGTGTTTGAGTTGCTGTAATTTGCTAATACTACTAGGTATCGAACTAGATACAGGGTGTACATAAATGTTCAGAGATCTTTATTATTAGAATAAGAAAGGTCAAATGTAGAAGGTAAAGTACACCTCAAATTATATACTATTTAGTTTTGTAAATACCTGATAAAATCAATGCAAGCTAGTCTTGTAATAAGGGATATCTCGCACCACAAGAATACATTTTTTACATTTTCTCCACCTCGGACACGAAATTACCTTACTATGTGTCAAAACTCACGAGAGACGAGAGAAAACGAGACGGGACGAGAGAAGAGCTTCCTCGTCTCGTATCGAGGGTCTCCCGTCGAGACGAAAGACTCATTTTTCTCTTGAACCTTCGAGACAAGACGAGAGAAAGCGGATTCTCGTCTCATCTCGTCTCGTCTCGTCTCGTCTCACGGCATCACTAATCGTGAAGATCCTTGCCATCGTTGTTACGGTTGAAATATAAAAGTAGTTGGGTTTCTTTACCTTTGGCATTGGCTTACATTTTTTTGCATATATTTGGAATTGTTTTGGGGCTATTTTGAGCTTCCTAGTTTGACAGCAAGTCCCGGATATTTTTCCTATATTATTTGGGCTGCTCGAGGGTTGTTGTCCTTGTTTTGTTTCCATTATTTGTTTTTGGTTTATTAATTTTTCTTGGTTGACATGGTTGACATGGAACTTCAAATGTTGTGACCAATGTTGTGACAGAGAGAGTCAGCTGATTGATTTTTCATTTAGAGAGTGCGATCGATAAGCACTCCAGGCGATTCTCGGTACGTTCGGATTGCGAAATTTTGGGTTCCGGATCGCGAATTTTGAGTTCCACTCCGTCTTGTTCTTGGTAGAAACGCTCGGCGAGTCGGTGGAACCAATCTTCAGTCTGGAGTACTCGGGGTAATGTAACAATAATTTTTAGTGTCGTTTGCGCATTTGTTAGTGGAAAGTCATATGTTCTTGTCTACAATAAGAAATAAGTAACGCCTGATGATTTTTGATTCGCTATCTTTGTCTGTCTCGCTAATTTTCCAGATTTGATCCCAGTGCATAGAAATATTCTGTTGAGTCAACATTATAAAGTCTGTTTTTTTTTTAAAGATAATTCCCCAAGTCAAAAATTTAGTAACTATGATGGCAACACAAGCCTTTGCTACATAAAAAATTTGAAAGCTTTGACAATTTTACATTGTATTGCCAACACAATGTCATTTTGACTATTATCTTTAAAAAAAAAAAACACATTTTAGTTTTTTTTTATATATTTTATGAACCTTTGGGTAATTAGATCAATTTATTGGTAAGAGCCTCATGTAATTGGTTAGTACTAAAACTCATTTGTTAGGTGAACTCGCGGCCGGCTACGTATCACTAAAGAGTTGATTAGAATTTAATCACTTTAGCATATACATATGTAGATTCAAAGTTTTCAAGGTTCAATAGTTGAATTGAATTTATTAACTGTAGTAGAATTGGATTTATTAACTTTAGCAAATATATAATATTTAGATTCCAAGTTTCAAGGTTCAGTAGTTGAATTAGATTATGAGCTTAGCAAATAGTTAGGTTCAAGGTTGCCAAGGTTCTATATCTCAATTAAATTTAGTAACTTTAGTGAATATTTAGATACATAGTTTGCAAGGCTCAATAGGGTTAGATTATGAGCATTTGGTAAACTTGAGTAGTTTTGAAATTTATCGTTAATGGGATTGTTAACCATTTGGTAGATTGAGCTTAGTTTGGGTTAGTGGGAAGATTCTCCTTACTGACTGAATTAAATGATTTGATGAAATTGTGGACTGTTGATTGTTTGTTGATTGGAAGTAATTTTTCACGTTATTTTGATTTCCAAGTTTTTATTTTTGGTACCTTGGTTGAACTTGGTGGCGCTCTGGGTATTTTCCTTTTAGGTAGAAGCTGGAATATGAGAAGAACCATTCGAACCCCCTCGATTGAGCTACCGGGTAGGTAAGGCCATTTCTTTGGGCAATTTCAGCATTTGGTAGTTTTCCTGGTATTTCGTATTGGAAATTATAGTTTTACATTGATGAAAACATAACGTTGACATCCAAAAACGGAACATCGTGCCAACAGGGATCGTTTATTCTCCAGCTCATTTTCAAATGATTGATGTTTGCGGCAAGGAAGAAGGAAGACTAAAGGCGGATTTAAACAACTTTTGATAAATTTAAGTCATAATTTTTTCATAATTTAATGCGTTATTCAATACATAACTCAATACCCCAGTTTAAACCACTTCATAAATTAATACATAATTTTTGAAATTTCATTATAGTCCAGGAGGTGGCGCCAAAAACATGCAAGAGTTTTCGCAAGGCGGATATTTTCAAAATAGGTCGTACTTTAGTGCTAGAATGCTAGTGTACAGTCAGCACTCACAGTTCCGGGACAGCTGGCTCTGGGACGCGGGCAAAGTTGTAATTTTAAGAAGCATCTAAACTGTTTTCTCAAAGCTCAAAATTTATAGAAATTTTGCACATTATCTGTTTGAAGGTCACAGATAACGTATGTAAATCGTCAGACGTCTAGTTCGTTGCAAAAAGGGGGTCAGACGTCCTCAAAGTTCTTATTTTATGGCATTTTCTTCAAATATATTTGTCAAATACCTGCAAAAATATATTTTGACAGGACACCGCTGTCCCGGAACTGTGAGTGCTGACTGTACACTAGCATTCTAGCACTAAAGTACGACCTATTTTGAAAATATCCGCCTTGCGAAAACTCTTGCATGTTTTTGACGCCAGCTCCCCAACTATTAATATTCTATTGATATTTTGAAATTTGACACTGATAGAAGTCAAAAGGTCCAGTTTTTTCATAATTTATTGTATAAAAGTTAAAAGTTGGGAACTTTTAAGGTTATCCATTATGAACTAAATTATGAATTGAGCATTAAATAGATGTATAAACGCTTCCATAGAAATTAAAAAATTTAACTTTAAAGCTTATGCACTAAATTGTGAATTACGCACTAAATTGAAGTTATGAAGTTGTTTAAACTCGCCTTAAATGCTCTCATTTGAGTTTCAACACATTTTTTTCTTACATCACTACAAAATCTCATCCCAAATTCAAAACCCCATGCACATACTTCATGAACCATCAATAATAAAATCTACATAAAAAATACCGATTCTTTAAGTTGGTTATAGTTGAACCCAAGTGCGTGTCATTGCTGTTGTGTGACAAAACAAAAATTCATGAATAAAATAACAGTTTAAGCGGCAATTGAATAAGTTTTACTTGAAATGCAGTCGTGATCGTGTCTTTGCCTAGAAAAAAAAAACAATGTCGTTGAACTTGAACACAATCAAAAAAGGCACTTTCTGGAGTCTGTAAAATTGGTATTATTATGCGTGTAAGTGTTTTGTCGAAGAATTTCTTTCCTTCGTCATGCTAGAAGAGATCATTGATTCTAAATGTATAAATCTTTCTAGCTGCTATACAATATTTTCTTGAAATTTCATTTGAAATACTTTATACCCCAAAAAGCAATAACCTAAATCAACAAGAAAAATTAAATGATCAATATCCTTAGCTACTTGTTGGATAAAAAATTACATTTTTGCGTGTTGTAGCAAGGTCGTAGAACGAAACTTATTTCGGTAAGGCTATGGACATTATTTTATCCACGAATGTCCAATTACGACCGTTAAACTTTGAGTACTTCATTATATCGCTGCCTATACTTGAATTATTAAAATTTAATTGAATGTTTTTTTATTCAATCAATGTGCTGTGAGCCGTTATGGTGAGGGAGGTCGAGTGTTAGTAACACAAGTTAGAGATTATAACACTTTGTTACTAATCTAATAATAATAATAGAGAAATCAGAGCACTGCTGAAAACTGAATCAAATGCTAAGAATAAAATGAGTACCATAACATCACTAGCTTTTCCAGTCATACATTATAGTTTGTTACGATAAATTTATCATTTTCGTAACATGTTCCATTTCTTCTAATTTTCATTATAAAAGTTGTATTTTTGCCATTTCAGAATCAGCAAAATAATAATTCATAACTTAAGTAATTCGAAAGTATCTGCAAAATTTAATTAATTCAATATAATATCAGTACTGCCATAATGAGCATAAAAATGCAAATATCTGTTATTAAAAGAAGGTACTGTCATCTCACTTTTAGCAAATAGATATATTTCTGTCTTTCTCTAACTTCTAATTCTGAAATAATTATTTTTAGCTTGATGACCAAATTAATTAGTGGTTTTGTGTTTTCAACTCAACCTTAATTTAAATTATTGTAATTTGTAAACAATTAAAATAATTCTTTCAATCAACGTGGTTTTTCATTGATGAAGTGAGCACGGTCTTTTGTGTCTGTTGAGTGTTGTCTTCTGATTGGTCGATGGTTACTACACAGTTAAGTATAAAAAAAACAGAAGATTGGTTTCCTGCAGGGTTTTCGTAAAAAAAATCTAGATTTTCCCTTAATATTTTTCAATTTATTTTACCATCAGTGTATACTATCATATGACTGTTGAGTTTTTACCTGATAAATCTTATCTTATCTACCTTTGAAATATAAATATTATATTTCATTTTATTTTTATCTAACTGTGTGCCTCCATTTTGTGATTGGTGACCCACGTTTTTCTGAGGTGAGTCAATTCAGAGTTTTGGCTAATAAATAGGTACTGCTGCTCTGATTTTCAGAATCAATAGACCCATCTCGCATGATTTGAAAAAGAGAGCTCAATTGTAATAAATACAAGTTAGAAAGTAATAAAAGATGACATGCGCGCGCAACTCGTAGGTTCAGTGTAGCCAGATTGTATTGTTGCAGATCAAGTGTAGACAATACAAATCGAACAATATAACATTAAAGAAGTGATATAATGTCAAGTGTTTTACAACGCCTTGAATCAGACAAAAGAAGAGCTTTAAAGTGGATGAACATCGTTTGCACTTTTATTTTGATAAATGTTTTATCCGGCAACATCGCTCAATGAAATTGTAAAGGGATATGTCAAATATAATCTAACATAACCTTAAACGACACTGCGGTGAGTTCAAGTAATAATGTAAAGTATTAGTTTTTTGTCGAATTACACGTTACAAAGAAAGAAGGAACGATTCATTCTGAACTGGCCCCTGAATAAGGATATGACGCAAGCCTGTAACAAACTTGGTTCTCATTGGACGCTCACCTGCAACCTACAAGCGACACGCGCAGTCAAGGTAATAGGAGATCGGTCTATTGTAACTGTGTATTATTGGACCATTTACTCTAAGTAGAGTTGGTGCAAACCAAATCTGTATGTCCATCCCTATCAACATTTTACCGAATCCAGGCAGAAGCCTGTTTAGTCATTTTTTGTTTGATTCTCTCATTTTCTTCGCGAGAAGAAAGAGTGCTAAAAAAAAAGGTGTTGAATATTGAATATTTGTATAGATTACAAAATTGAAGTAGAGGAAAAGTAGTACCAGCACGTCCCAGATTCGGATGTTGACACCTACATCATCACCATTATATGGGATAATCAGGTCCAGACTTACAGAGCCATTAAAGCCGATAAACCTGACATCATCATTGAAGATAAAAAGAAAGGCGAATGTATTCTCATTGATGTAGCAATACCATCGGACTATCATATTATTCGAAAGGAGTCAGAAAATACAATAGAAATTCAAAGGCTCTGGAATATGAAAGCAACAGTCGTACCTATAGTGATCAGCATAACGGGATTAATCTCTAAAACAACTTGCGAAACCATTAAAGAAATCCCGGGGAAACAAAAATTTACTCACATTAAAGAAGACGGTTGTACTGAGTACTACACATAGTACGCAAAGTACTATAAACCAGAAGCCAATTCCATCCACAAACAAAGGGACACCCTAGGTGTGTCCTGATTCTGAAATACTATAGCCAACTATGTGATAAAAGAGTATGATAATAATAATGCGAAACAAAATTGGTGCGTTTTCAGTGCAACATACTATTTAAATAGTTATCAAACTATAGCTTCCGCTATACTTACTTCAAGACAAGTTTATGGTGCGTGCTTCAAAACCCAACTTTATTCTTCTTTCCTAATGGCGAAACACAATAAAATTAGTAAAGGCGATATAATAAAGGACTGGAAGCCATATTTATTATAATTTA